TTTATTTATTTTTAACTTTTTTAGTTGTTGATGGGCTTTTATTTTTATTTATATGTGGTACTGAGGATCGTACCCAGTGCCTCACACGTGGGAAAGAAGCACTTTACTGCTGAGCCACAACTCCAGCCCCTATTTTATTTATATAGTTTTTTGTAGTGGTAGATGGACACAACTCCTTTATTTTCTTTATTTATTTTTATGTGGTGCTGAGGATCAAACCTAGTGCCTCACATGTACAAGGCAAGTGCTCTACCTCTGATCTACAACCTCAGCCCGAGAATCATTTATTTTAAATATTTATTTATTTATTTTTTAGTTTTTGGTGGACACAACATCTTTATTTTATTTTTATGTGGTGCTGAGGATCGAACCCAGCGTGAGCGCGCTACCGCTTGAGCCACATCCCCAGCCTAAATCATTTATTTTTGAAAAGAATTTTGTCTCAATTATGATTTGCTAAAATAGATGACTAGTTCTTGATCTGCATCAGATATCACGTAAATGCCTTGTGTCCATTTGCGCCCTCATAGCATAGGGGTTGAGAGTGCTTGAGATAGACCAGACTCGGACCTACGGGGAGTTCCAGAGACCTGCTCAAAAACTCATTTAAAAACAGCCAATCTGAGGGTGTGGTCTTGTGATTTAGGTAAGAACAGTTTGATATTATTCAGGCTGTGCTTTGAACTGTATTTAAGTAGTAAGAAATGTATTGTGATCTCTTTCTTTGGAAGGAAGCCAAAACTTTCCCCCTTTTTATTTGCTGGCTCAGTGGGGGGATTCTGGAGGGGTAAAAGTGGGTAGCGACTGGAGTGTGAGGGGACATGTGGTGGTGATGAGAGGCTGCTTGCTTTGGTAAGCTGAGGAACCTATGCCATTTTCTCTTCCATCATGTTTTTCAGATGTGCAAAGGCTTTGGGGAGCTGGAGGTGTGAGGTAGGGCCTGGTTCTAGTGGTGCCTACCTGTAGCACCAGCTACTTGGGAGGCTGAGATGGGAGGATTGCTTGAGCCCAGGAGTTTGGGCCCCACCTGGGCAGCATAGCATCCATCTCTTACCAAACCCTTTTACTTAGAGTCATCTCTTGGTATCCATTGATTTGGTTCTAGAACCACTGTGGATACCAGAATTCATGAATGCTCAAGTCCATGATATTGGTATCCTAGCAAATCCTCCTATAGACTTTATCATGTGTGAATTATTTAAAATACCCAATACTGTCTAAATTTTACTTAAATAGCCATGTACTGTCATGTTTAGGGAGGAATGACAAAGGGGAAAATTCCGTATCGTGTTCAGTTCAGGTACAGGTTTTTTGTTTTTTTTTCCCCCTTAGTAATATCTTTGACCTGTGTTTGTGGAGGGCCTGACTGCAGGTTGAACGTGTCAACAGCTGAAGCTTTTTAGCAGTATTAATACAGTCCACTTGATTAAGATCTACTAAATAGATCTTGGGAGAAACACAAAAGCTGTGAATTCCTGTGGATCTGATCTGGGCTGTTCAGCATGTCTTAGTTTCACAGCATTCTCGTCACAACAAATGTTCTTTCCCCTTGAGATTATTTGTTAGAACCCAGTGAACTTAAAAATCCACTTCTATTTTTAAAAAAGTAAATACTGCTCTTGATTAAAATAGTCAGACCAGTTTGTTTTATGTTTTTAGAGAAGAGTGGCTACCATTAAAATCTGATGACATTGGCTGAGATTCCAGCCTAGCCCTAGCTCCTCTAAATTTGTTTCCTCAGTTATAAAATGGGAATAATAGTGACAGTGCTTAAGGATAAGTTCCCAGTTGTAGAATTGACCTGGTAAGAAAAGCCCACTCATTATAGTGTTTTGCCATTCCACATTTTTTGGGTTTTCTTTTAATGTCAAGCTTGTCTAAATAGTTGTTCTTGTACAGGTCATCTGTTGCAGTAGTATTAGAAGCTTGGAGTCGTCCCCAAAAACTTTTCCTTACCCTTTGTTTTTCCTTTGTTACCCACAGCCTGAAATCCTTTGATGTTTCACTAAAATGTCATTTGCATTTGCTTTTTTGCCGTATACAATTGAGATCTTCAGCTTTAACAGATGTACTTATCCTTGAAGCCCTCACCCAGAGTAGCATGTACACAGTACTTATTTGGATCCCAGGATGTTTCTCCTCCCCTCCCCAAGCCCCCACCTCCTTCAGGTTTGGATTTCTAGGGCCTAGATTGGTTTTGCCTGTTCATGAAGGTAATGGAAATAATTGAAATTCAGGGTCTTTCATTCATAATGTAATGTTGCTGGTAACAATTGTTCCCTTTTTATTGCTAACGGATATTCCATTGCATGAATATACCAGGATTTGTAACCCCTTCTTGTTGATATTTGGATTGTTCTCAGTTTTTGGTTATTGGGATAAAGTTGTGGAGACCCCCCCCCATTTTATTACTCAGAATACACAGTGTGGTTAGTATCTTTTCTACTTCCTAGCTCTGTAGGCATCTTAATATTTCTGCCTCAGTGTCCTTGCCTATAAGATGGTGGACATAAAATGGAAGCAATTGAGGGACCAGCACTTTGTTAAAATTTAAATTTAGAGTGGATGATTTGTTGTACATAGTGCAACACAAAAAATATGGCTGGGCACAGTAGCACCTATAATCCAAGCAATTCAGGAAGCTTCAGCAGAAGGATCACAAGTTTAAAGCCAGCCCTTTCAGCTTAGCAAGCCTGTCAACAGCCAGTCTCAAGATTTAAAAATAAATAAATTAATTAAAAGGGCTGGGGATGTAGCTCATTGATACAGCACCACTGGGTTCTTTAAAATAATAATAATGTTTGTGTGTGCATGCGTATTGTAGCACAATATAAAATATATTTGTTATGAATTATAGGCAGATCATTTTGCCCTTGATTTGTGTGTAACCTCATAAGCAAAGACATTGAACACCCAGGTGATTATCTAATAATCCTTTTCTCTGCTTTCTGGGTGTCTAAAACAGCAGTGTTGATATGATCACCTTCATAGGGCCAGCTATGGGCCAGGCATAATTTTTAAAGTTTTGTATACAAAACCATATATTCCTCACAACCCTCTAAAGTCCCCACAGCACAAATGGAGAAACTGAGACACAATTATACCATTTGCTTAAGGTCACAAAGCTAGAGAGGAAGGGCCATGATTTGAGCCAGAGTTGGCAAGTCTAGAGTTCTTGTGCTCAACCACTCTTCCTGGGGAGACAAAAATGCAAGTAAGATGAATTAAAATGTACATGAAACTGAAAACTCATAATCATCCAATTAATGTAATACTTCCCTGCTCTTTATTCCAGGTATGAGAAATGAGTGTTGGACGTCGAAGAATAAAGTTGTTGGGTATCCTGATGATGGCAAATGCCTTCATTTATTTGATTGTGGAAGTCTCCAAAAGCAGCAGCCAAGAAAAAAATGGAAAGGGAGAAGTAATAATACCCAAAGAAAAGTTCTGGAAGATATCTAACGTACCTCCCCAGGCGTACTGGAACAGAGAACAAGAAAAGCTGAACAAGCGATACAATCCCATTTTGAACATGTTGGCCAACCAGACAGGGGATGTAAATGGGTCGTCAAATATAAGTCATCTGAATTATTGTGAACCTGACCTGAGGGTCATGTCAGTTGTGACAGATTTTAATAATTTGCCAGACAGATTTAAAGACTTTCTCCTGTATTTGAGATGTCGAAATTATTCACTGGTTATAGATCAACCGAATAAATGTGCAAAGAAGCCCTTCTTATTGCTGGCAATTAAATCCCTCACTCCACATTTCGCCAGAAGGCAAGCAATTCGAGAGTCCTGGGGCAAAGAAATCAACCAGGGAAACCAGACAGTGGTGCGAGTCTTTCTGCTGGGCCAGACTCCCCCAGAGGACAACCACCCTGACCTTTCTGACATGCTGAAATTTGAGAGTGAGAAGCACCAAGACATTCTTATGTGGAACTATAGAGACACTTTCTTCAACCTGTCTCTAAAGGAAGTGCTATTTCTCAGGTGGGTTAGCACTTCCTGCCCAGACACTGAGTTTGTCTTCAAGGGTGATGACGATGTTTTTGTGAACACTCATCACATCCTGAATTACTTGAATAGCTTTCCCAAGCACAAAGCCAAAGATTTGTTTATAGGTGATGTGATCCATAATGCTGGTCCTCATCGAAACAAGAAACTGAAGTACTACATCCCAGAGGTGGTTTTCTCTGGGGTCTACCCTCCTTATGCAGGGGGAGGGGGATTCCTCTATTCTGGCCACCTGGCCCTGAGGCTGTACAACATAACTGACCAGGTCCATCTCTACCCCATTGATGACGTTTATACTGGAATGTGCCTTCAGAAACTTGGCCTCGTTCCAGAGAAACACAAAGGCTTCAGGACATTTGATATTGAGGAGAAAAACAAGAATAACATCTGTTCTTATGTAGATCTGATGTTAGTACATAGTAGAAAACCTCAAGAGATGATTGATATTTGGTCTCGGTTGCAAAGTGCTCATTTAAAATGCTAAAATATACAGGCTAAATTTTACATAGAAAGATATATCTTCCCTAGTTCCCATGTTGTTTTCTCGTATTAGGGTAATTTCTGTGTTAAACCATTAGAATTACCTTTAAAGGTAGTATCCATGTGAAGCCCTCCAAACGCTTTAGTTTGGTACTTTTGTGACTAGGGAAAGCAGATGATGATGATTTTAATGGAGAATATGGCAGGATGATTGGTTCTGAACTTTCCTACTGGATAGTGGTCATTATTTTGTAGTTTATCCTCCCTTCTCATCTGAAATCTTAAGTTCCTAGAATGTGATCATTTAAGTTATTTTTATTTTGTTCTGYTATATATTATTCCTACTTCCATTATCATGATGGATTTATCTGTAATTCAGGTGTTTAGGAACCTAATGGCTACCATGACTTTGTTATTCATGACTCAGTGGTTTTGTGAAATGGAATTATATTTATTTTCATGAAATTTGGGTGAATTTTAAAAATTATCTACAAAATGGACTTCAGTCAAAATTTCCTGCCACCCTAACAGTATTTTCATGTGTTAATTTAATCAGTTAATTTTGCATAATGAGGATCATGTGTGACACATGCAGTTTATCTTCTTGTGGTCTCATGGTCATAATGAGGAGATAGTGAGTTTAATTTCTCTTGTATTTGGTTTGCTAGGTGGTATCATAATAATCTGATTTTAGTATTGTTGAAAATAATGATTATGATTCCATAATGGCCAACTGGAAATTGGATTGCCAGTGACAACCATATGGGTTTATGAATTTTCACTATGGATCAGGAAAGCATAGTGACTTTTGAACTTGGAAGTGAAAGGTTTGAAATTGTAGGCTTTTTCTTACCTGGTCTGTCAATTTAAAACTCCAGGATTCTATTCTTGCCATATTTTCACATGTTGCTTATGCAAAATTATTATTCTGAGTAGTGATCGCTTCCCTGTCTCAGTGTAGAAGTGCCTGTGTTTTTATTTATTGTTCAGATCAAAGACCAAAACATTTTCTTAAATATATTTTGTGTAATATTTTATTTGTATACAGTGTTGTTGGTGATATATTTAACTAGAGCATGATATTTTAAATGTTAAGGTGTAACATATGTTAAATAAAGCTAATGGTTATTTTTGAATTTTAAAATTTTGGGTTTTTTTGGGGAGTATGAACTACTAGTTGATAAAATTCTGCCAAACTATTGCTTATATGTACTATCTTATAACATGCTTTCTCAACATATTTTTGTGTTTTTAGAGATAAGAATTCTTATCACATGCAATACTAGGGACTGTAAAAAAGTGGAAATAAAGTCACTATTTTTAATTGTTATGTGTAATAATTTGTCTTTTCCTGTATTTGATTATACATTTTCTCCAAAGAGGCCATTTTCCCCAGAAACCATTACAGTAATTTTGAACTATCAGTTTTTCTCTCTCAATGGATTATCCATCTTTGCTTTTAAAAATCTCAAAAGTACTTTCCCAGTTAATCTTTATGAAAGGAAAGTAAGGAACCAGGAAACAGGCGAGCGAGAAATGAAAAGACAGAGACCAGCCAGAGATACACAAGAGAGTTTATTTGTCAGAGCTGACAAATAAAGACCATCTCTCCATAGATGGAGAGAAGCAGGACAGGCTTGCATTTGGGAGCTTTTATGGGCCAGGCTTAGGGATCAGAGCCCGGTGGGTCCTAATGTGGGCAGGATTAAGGGTGGGGTTGGTATGAGGGAGTGGTGAGCCTTTCCAGGAAAGGTCATTGGGTGGGAAAATGGTGGCTGTCACTTAAGATGGCTGCCCAGACGCTAAGCAAAGACCTTACATTTTAAAGAGAGGCATGAATGTTTATTTGTGCTTCTGTTTTTAGTGAATATAAAGAATTTAATGGGAATGGTTCGGCATGGTGAAGACCATAGAATCCTGAGCTGTTTCCTTTTTGCAGGGGTTATGGCCGCAGTGATGAAATACAGAGGCAGCCTCAGCCAGGCCTGTTTCTTTCATAGACTCATATCAACAAGAAATTGCTAATGTGCACTTACAAACAAATGGACATTTGATAAAGCTCAGAACAGGAGGAGTGATGTTGAAGGTTGCAAACTGTCCTCTGCTGCTTGGCGTGCTGAGGCCACATATGAGCAAGTGTGAGTTCACAGATCCTTGGTGTGGCCTCAAAGGCTTTGAAGCCTAATCTTTCTAAAGGATTTATGGGGCCTGCATCTGACCTCTACACTCCTGTGGTTGCTAGCCCATTTCCCAAAGGGCCACTCTGCCGGATTAGGTTTAGAGAGGGATAAAGAAGCTCTGAGGACATTCAAAGGTAATTGGTTCACAATATGCATGTGTCCTTGTAACTTGACTCTGCAGTCTCAGGTAATGAATTCCTCCTGAGGGGAATTTCCTTATAGGGAACCCACTTCCCTGAGGTTGGAAATCTTCTGCAAAGAAAGAAGTCATATAACAGGTTTGGAGAGTTGCTGGGGGCATTTTGTGAGCCTGCAGTTGACAGATGTGCTGTTGTCCAAACATGAGTCCTTGGTGCTGATGATATTTGGGTGAGATAATCTCTGTCCCTTTTTTATTTGGCAGAAGTTTTTGGTCAGTGGCTGGTCATTGCTGTGCTTTGAGATTAACTTCATGGGCTTGGCAGCAAAGGGATTCTAGGATTTAGAGCGGTACACGCGTTATACTCAGTTATAATACTTGACTGAGCCTAATTCATGAAGCCCTCCCTTGGTGCCCATGAGATGGACTCTGTCCTGATCCCCCATCTCATGGAGGCAAGTACAAAAGGCTAATTAGTTCTTTGAGAACTGCTCAATAACAGTTCAGCACAAACTGGAGCCTGGCTTTTTTCATGGCTACTCTCAAGTCGTGTTGATTTTGAGTTTGAAGGTCAAAAAGGAAGAAGGAGCATCATCAGAATTTGGATGTTTCATAAACCCAAGCAGACCTGTTTCAGTCAGCTTTTTTTTTGTTTTGTTGCTTTGACTATAAGACCTGACCAGAACAATTGTAAAGGAGGAAGAGTTTATTTGGAGGCTCACATTTTCAGAGGTCTCAGTCCATGGACAGCAGGCTCCATTCCTCAGGGCTCAAAGCGAGGCTGAACATCATGGCAGAAGAATGTGGTGGAAGCCTCAGAGAGACAGACTCTACTCTCCAGATACAAAATGTATACCCCAAAGCCCCTTCCCCAATGCCCACCTCCTCCAGCCACGCCCTTCCCATTGTCTTCAGTTACCACTCAGTTAATACCATCAGGGATTAATCCAGTGATTGGGTTAAGGCTTTCCTAATCATTTGTCCTATAAACCTTATTTCATTCGAGGGACATCTCACATCTAAACCATAACAAGGCCTTAAGAGAAAAGGATGACAGACAAGAACAGCTCTAGCTGGGGTTTTAAAATACAAAGACTATAGAAATTAACACCACCCTTCCCACCCCTGACCCTGGTATGTCTCCTTTTTTGGAGCTGTTTGAGGAAGCCTAGAAAAGGAGGATAGGAAGTTGGGGAAACACTTAGTTACCTTAGAAATTGGGTCCAGAATTAAAGACACCCAAGTGTGACCATCCCCTCTGTTTGCACTTCTGGTTGCTAATAATGAATATTTTATGACTTGAGCCATCTTAGCCCATTAGAGGGGGCTAAGGCGGGAAAGGAAAATGATGGTTTTTCATTTGGTTTTTCCTTAATATTAATTCTATGTTGTTTTTGTTTTCAATGCCAGGAACATCTAGTGAATAAGAGATTTTGAGACTGAACCTTTATATTTCTTTTTTTTTTTTTTAAAGAGAGAGAATTTTTTTTTAATATTTATTTTTTAGTTCTCGGCAGATACAACATCTTTGTTGGTATGTGGTGCTGAGGATCGAACCCGGGCCGCACGCATGCCGGATGAGCGCGCTACCGCTTGAGCCACATCCCCAGCCCTGAACTTTATATTTCGAGTTAATAGTAAATTTGAAAAATTGGAAGTATTTATCCTGACTCAGATCTCAAAGTGATACACTGACAAAATTTTTTGCCTTTCACATTACTACATCTTGGAGGTAGAGGTTAAGAATAAGGTCCTTTTTTCTTTAAAGAATCCCCCAAAATCTTGTTTGCTCATATCACATGAATTGGTATATTGTTCACTGTAAAATACAATAACTTTTCATTGAAAAACTTTGCAAATCAATATGATTTATATCCATTATATGATATTCCTCAATTACAGAGATAGTAAGATGTGAGATATTACATCTTGGAATAATTGGAACATAGCGTTAATTTCTATACAGACTTCGTATTTTAAAACCCTGACTCTGAGCTGGAGGTTTGTTCAGGACTGCTTCCTGCTTTGTCACTTTGATCTGTGTTTGGGAATTTTCATCCTAAGCAGCTGTGGTGGCTTTTGGGCTTTGGCACTTCCTTTCTTCCTGTGGCACCATGTGAACAGGAATTATTAATTGCATTGAAGCAGCAGAATTAGAGGCTTTAATATGAGTATAATCTGAATTGAATGAAGGTGCTTGCAGCTTCTCAACAGCCGCCTGGCATTAGGGTAGGGGCTTTTTCATCCTGCTCAGGCAGTAAAGGCACTTGGAGAACTTGAACTCTAATAATACAGCCAGGGCTCACCTCACTGCTCTGGAAACCTACCATCTGTAACTTGCCCTTTCCAACCTGTCAAAAAGTTCTCCTTCCTGCTCATGACTCAAGCCCTTCCTGAAATTGACTTCCCTCATCATTCTGCTGACAGGTTATGAATAACCTTCATCCAGAGCTCCGCCTGCAGTCACGTCAAACAGTTTAGAAGAATATGAAATAAAAATTATGCTATCCTTGGATTGGATTCTTCCAGAAACAGAATTTTAGATGAGGATTCTCATTGAGTAGTGTTTTTGGGAAGTGATGCTGGGAAGGGAAGGTGTCCAATGCGAGTATATATGTGGATGTATGAAACCAACTGCCACTCTGGGAGTTCTGTCCTGTGGGGAGTTGAGAAAAATGCAAAATATATGCCTCAGAATTCTGTCTGCCCGGCACAGTAGCACACGCCTGTAATCCCAGGGGCTCGGCAGGCTGAGGCAGGAGGATTTCGAGTTCAAAGCCAGCCTCAGCAAAAGCGAGGCACTAAGCAACTTAGCGAGACCCTGTCTCTAAACAAAATACAAAATAGGGCTGAGGATGTGGCTCAGTGATTGAGTGCCCCTGAGTTCAATCCCTGGTGCCCCCCCMCMCACACACACACACACAAAAAGAATTCTCCTGAGGCCTAAGGGAGCTGGCCTGTTGGGTTTGTGGGCAGGCACCTGTGAGTGCGTACATGTGTGTGAGGGGTGTTGCTGGGGATTGAACCTTGGGTTTATGCATGATAAGCAAGCACTGTAACACTGAGTGACATCCCTAGTCCTTTTCATTTTATTTTGAGACAAGATCTTCCTAAATTACTGAGGCTGGCCTCAAATTTGAGATCTTGCTTCAGCTGGATCTCAAGTATTTGGGTTAAAGGCTTGCACCACTGATCCTGGCTAGGTGATTATATATATATTAGTTGTAGATGGACAAATACCTTGGTGTTGAGGATCAAACCCAGGGCCCTGCACTTGCTAGGCAAGTGCTCTATCACTGAGCCACAACCTCAGCCTCCTGGCTGGGTGATTTTTTATAATAGCTCTATTGAGGTGTAATTTTCCTCCCATAACATTCACCCACTTAAAGTGTACAGTGAAAGGTTGAGGGGGGGGAACAACACCTCAAGAAAATAAAGTGTTAAATGATTTTGGTAAACCATAGAGTTATGCATAACTATCTCTATAAACCACTACAAAACCAATTTGGTTGTGAGTCATAACCAGCCCATTATCTAGCCATGTATAGAACTTTTTATTTTTGTTATCTTCATTCTTTTTTTAAAAAAAATTCCAAAACAATGAAACAATGTCTTGTTTCCTACTGCCCTTCTTTCCATAAGAGCCAGTTCTTTAAATATGCAAGGACTCCTTATAATGAAACAGATTAGACTTTTCTTTTGATGATTCTTAGTGCATTATCTCAGGGTTTAGTTATGCCTGTTTCCCCTGATTCTCATGGAAGAGAATACTAAGCGATCCTCAGCCCCCCCCCCTTTTTTTTTAAGAGAGAGGAGGGGGAGAGAGAGAGAGAGAGAGAGAGAGAGAGAGAATTTATTTATTCATTTTAGTTTTTTTCGGCGGACACAACATCTCTGTTTGTACGTGGTGCTGAGGATCGAACCCGGGCTGCACGCATGCCAGGCGAGCGCGCTACCGCTTGAGCCACATCCCCAGTCCCTCAGCCCTTTTTTATGAATGAAGGA